TAAACTGAGGAAGATTACACTGAGAGGTTACTAGCTCATTTCAGCTTACCCTAAAACTCTAACCTTGGTAGTTACATGGTAGGAATATGCTGATGAGTTTGAAAGTCAGAAGGAAGCCCGTGCTTCAAATTGGAGTGTTGATTATAGGTACGTAGGTGTGTGTATCTGATGAGCAAGCTTTCCCCTTGAGAGATGAGGTCGTTGTTTTAATACACCTCTATAACCAACTTCAGGCTAATTTAAATAGTCCAGTAGTTCAGTAGTATGGCATTAACTTGTGGAACATCTGGCATTATCTGCCGCTAAATTCAGTCATGTTATGTGCTGTAAGTAGCTTTAAGAAATAAGAAGTAATCTACTCCAGACTCAACCTAGTTGTATGGCAGTCAGCTGTACTGGATGCTTCATCTCCATTAAACTGTTGAATTGTTGACTTGATTTAGCTGGTGGAAATACCCTTTTCAGATGCAGCCTGAATCTGCGTACGACAGAATTAGTGATTTGTGGCCCAGTAGAGGGACTAATATGCTTGCAGATCCTGGAATTCATACTCTTCTCTCTAAATTAGAGAGCTACAGTCTAGATGTTGATGTGTTGGATGGGAAGGAGCTAGGTCAGCTATTTCCAGTCAGCAGAGACTACAGCATCATAGAATAGTTTTTGGGTTGGAAGTGACCTTTAAAAATCATCCAGTCCAACCCCCCCACCATGAGCAGGAGCTCAAAGCCCTGTCCAACCTGCCCTTGAACGCTTCCAGGGATGGGGCATCCACAACTCCTCTGGACAACCTGTTCCTGGGGATGGTTAAGAGCTCTCTTTTTTCAGTTGCTGGATAATGCTGCTGGCCTTGTCCCTGCTAGGATTTGTGAACACATTGGCACATGACTTCAACAGAAGGTGCTCAGCTAAAAAACTGCCCCGCAAAGGCAGACTGAAGGTGTGCCCAGCTCCCTGTGCCCTGCAGTGGGCTAGCTGTGGGCACTTGAGGGGAAAGCAGTAAAATCGTAGTACAGGTGATGGTGTTCCTCTCTCTCTGTCCTTCCAGTAGTCTCTTATTTAAGGACATTCCTGAACAATGACTTTGAGGGCCACCATTCTTACTGTCAAACTTGTGCCTTCTGTGAACCTATCTAATCTATTTTTAAATTCTCCATTTTGGCCTTTGCATGGCAGCTGATTTCGTATGACAGTACTTCCTTTTGGTTTGCTTGTGAACATGCTCTTAATAATTTTAGGGGTGAGCTGTAACTTTGCACTGGGAATATCACCATCTCTATATGGTTAATGACTGTAGGCTGTTCTCAATAAAAAAACAGTTCGCAGTGACTCCCATAGTCTCTTTTCAGACTTATCCTGCAACAGTGACAAGTCCATGAAAGATGATGTTACACAACCTCTGTGGCTTCTATTCATGAAAATCTGCCATTGCCCCACAGGAAGCACAGAATGTCAGACATGGGGTTTCAGTTCAGGTAGTGTCAGATCGGTAAGCAGTACCGTGCTAATGAGACTGTAATAATGTGAGAAAATGTGATCACTTGTATGCAAGAAGGATGAATTTGAGCAAATGTGGAGAATGGTCTTGAGGAAACTTTCGGTAGCTCAGAAGAGTTTTTGTCCAGCACCTGCAAGTAGATCAGATTGTTGCTGTCCCTGTGTGTATGAGGTGTCTTGAACACCTGGGAGAGTGACACAAGAGCAAATGAAGGTTCAAGGTTATGAAGTGGACATAAAAACAATTAAATTGGAGATTAAAAGATAAGTGAATATTACAGCAAAAAGATTCTGGCATAGTCATCCTAAATCATAGCAAAGTGAAAACGCAGCAATTATTTAGATGATATTGTAAACCTGCGAAAGGGAAATAAATGGATGGGTGTCTGCGGTGGTAATTCTTATAGTCTGTCTCCCCTTTAGTCCATCCAGCCTACTATGTTTGCTCTGGTATCTTCTGCGGCTGTTCATTAGTTTTGGCATATGCAGTGTAAAAAAAGTATGAAATTAACAGCTGGGGAAGGCACCTGGGTTGAGCCCTGGCTGGTGATGTAAATAAAAGGCATCTTCAGCTTACCATCTGAAGGTCTGTGGTGGTGTTATAGCACCTTTTTGGGAATAAAGGAGGAAACTGTAATGAGCTCTTAAGTGTGCTTTCACCAGCTGGAAGGAATAGCCAGTGACCTGTGATAAGCCCTCTGGGAGACCACCAGCAATAGCCAGGAAAATATGCCCTGGAGTAGGAGCTCTGCAGTGGTTGAAGTTTGTCTTTACAGGACACAGGACTGAGGTCTAGGGTGTGACTTCTCTTGCCTTCAGGAATCCTGTGTATGAATGCTTGAAAAAGCAAACTTTAAAGATGGAGAGAGTAGTGAAGTGTAGGTTCTACTTGTGTAGGTAACCTGTCTCATCTACTACCTTAGTGATTTGAAATGATTGAGATATCCAGTTTAGTTTTGGATAGCCAGATAATTTTGAGTGTTTTTGGTTTGTTTTTTTTTTGTTTGGCTTTTTTTGACTGGACTTTTTATTTCTCATTTCTTTTGCCAGCAGTAGAGCTGTTTACAAGCTCCTTCATGGGAAGTGGAGGGAAGCTGCTGTTGTGCTGCTCCTTGTAAGCTAAATCTATGCTTTTTTTTAGCTTTTGCTTGGGGGGTCATTTTTCTAAATCCTGTGGATTTCTCTCAAGTGCTTTTCCACTTTGCTTACTGTAGTGTTCAGCTTTGGTTGCAGTGGTCCTAGATGAGGCCTCAGTGCTGAGTTGTGAAGACTTAATTCCCTTTCTTTCCTGAGGCGGTACTTTTATGTACACTTCAAGCTAGTGTGAGCCAGCGCTGCCACTAGCAATAGCTAGTGTAAACATCTGTGTAGTTACTCTGAGAGCAGTCCTGGGGAAGCAAATCTCTGTAAAAACTATCACTTTCTCTGTGTGGTCGGTACTAAATTGATGCCGTGGCACAGTTTTGCAGTGACTGTCCCCCGCTGTCCCACCTGCTGCAACTACACAGCCGACATGACTTACGTCCCCTTTTAAACCAACAACAAACTCAGTTTACGTTAAGATGCGAGGTGTGAGCTGTGGTCTTTGAGGCTTGTTGTTTATAGCCTCACTTTACTTAAGAGCAGTGGATATAGTTAACAAGTGGTATGGCCTTCGCGGCTTGGAGGTGTGAGGGAGCATGTGGCCAGTAGTGTCTTCAAGTGCATGGAGTCAAGAGTCCATGGCCCTACGTTTCTCTGCTCTGCAGTGCACTAGGAAGTCTTCGAAAACCAGATGGTGTGGTGTGGACAGAGCTATTTGTAATTTCTTATTTTAATCATGGAGTGGGTAATTTACTGTAAATTGTTTTTCATAGCGTCTAGACAGTGCTGAAGTGATCCAGAGGTAGGATGTTCGAGCCAGGGAGGTAGTGCGCTTAGATCTGGCCAAGTATCTTAAGCAGCTGATCTCAACCTTCGTAGCCCATGCTTGGTTTCAGTTGGCCAAGTAAACATCTACACCCCATGGTAGGTGTCTGCCTTGATGACAGGATGGGGATTCTTCATCATTTCCAGCAGCACTGAGTTTGAATACTGTCAGCCAACACTTACCAGCACTGCAGCAGTGATTAGGGTGTGTAATGGAGTATGCCTGGCGTATGTTGGCCTAAATTGTTTTCAGGGTGGAGAAATTTGGTAAGTATTGATTCTTACATTAATGAGAAACAAATTGGATGTTTTCAAACTGGGGAAATACATTGTCTGAAGACAATGTTTGAACTGTCAAAGTATGATTTCGGTATTTATTCTGTAATAATTACAAGCTGGGTTGTGGGAGACATGATGTAAATCAATCTTGCAGAGATATACACATACCAAATAGCGAATCTTCCGAGGTATAGATGTGTTACTTTCAGAGGTTTATATCTAATTTGACGCAGTTTAACAGCCAAAGAGTTGAAAACTTACCGATTCATCACTGATAAATGTAGCTAATCCATAAACCAGTAACCATTTGCTTTTTATAGCATGTGAAATTGATTTTTGGGGGAGGGAGTGGTAGTGTGTAACTGTTCATCAGCGAATTTCTTTACACTATTTGCACATTGATATATGCAAATATAAGCCCTGCCTACACTGTGGAGGCAACCATGCAGTGAGGTCGGTATATGTATAATAGGCTGTGCTGAACTATATGGACCTGTGTGGAGTAAAACTACACAGCTGTACCATAATTTTGTATCAGCCACGTAAATGAGTGCGATAAATATCTTTCTATAGTGCTGTTCTGTGTTGGCTGTCAGCTTTAGTATTGCAGCAAAGAAACTGTTTTTAAAAAAGATACTGTTACAAAAGTTCCTTGAGTCTAAGCTTTCTACTGTGTAATGTTGCTGTAGAGGGGGCATTGATTTTGAGTATTCTTAAAATATTTGAAAAAATTTCATAATTTTTGTGCCTGTAGCTAGAGCTGTGCAGTTTAGGATTTTTAATTATTGGGAATTTAAGCTAATAACTTAAATTTTTTTCGTACTCTTAAAGAAAAGGTATATTAGAGCAAAGTCCACTTCATTTTGGGCGGAGTTGGGTGGGAAAGGGAAACTTTACATTTTAAATTTGGAAAATTCTTCACATTCAGAAAATATTAAACCAGTCTTGTAGAGCAATACCTGTTTTCCAAACTTCTGTTTTTGGGCTTGACTCCTAGATTTATCCTTATTTCCCTGAGATTTTTCTTTTTTCTCTTCCCCCTCCCTTTTTTTTTTTTATTCTTCAAAGCTATGAGTTCGGAATCAGGGATGGGTAATGAAGCTGCCAGTTGAAAAATAGTTTTCTTACTGCCATATTATAGTTAATTAAGTGCTCAGGTCTTAAGCAAATGTGAACAGTTACTTTTAAGTAGCTGATTTTCTGGCATGTTTGCAAATGATTTTTAACTAATAGTGCATGTGGCTGAAATCTAAAATAGTGTCTTTGCATTTCTTTTGTGTGACTTTCATACTAACCTGACTGATGAACGTACACTGAAGGAATTGGTAAATTGTCCACTGCCGATGGTAAAGCCTTCGCAGATCCTGAGGTTCTCCGAAGACTGACGTCCTCTGTCAGCTGTGCACTGGATGAAGCTGCTGCTGCATTGACGCGGATGAGAGCAGAGAACAATCACAACGCAGGACAAGTGGACAAGTATGTATTGATCGCTCCCCACCCTCAGTTTCTCAACCGTAGAATGTAAGTTTGTAATTTTAATTTAAAGTTCAGATAATTTTATAGTTAGTACTTATTAATGTATCTGCTCTACTACTAGCAAAGTTATTGAATCTGAAGGTGTAACTACTGTCCCACCAGTTATTGGCTTCGAAGTGGAAGAGGAAAGTACATAAAAAGGTTACTTTCTAACCTGTGCCTCTTTCTGTGTACTAGACAGTTGATTTCTTTTTCAAAAATGAGTTAAATTCTTGGCTGTAGATGTGTTGGTGATAGTTCTCTAGTTACTGGCTGAACATACTTTGTTGGAAACTAATGAATCTAGTTCACGGTATTAAAAGTTGGAAGAGAATACTAATACTTGTAGGACAGCAGTTTGCCCCGGGAACTTGCTCAGGAACTTAGAGGAAAATGAAACTGTATTATCTGATAACTTTTCGTAACTGATAACTAGTGAGGATGGTATTTAACTCTTGTGATGACAGAACTGAGGATTTGTCCTGTGTTGTCAAAAGCTTTCTTCTACGTTGGTAGTTTCAAGGCATTTTTAGGGGTCCTGAAATATTTTCTATTCTGTCAAGTGATGCACATAGTTCCTCAACTGTTGGGATGGTGTGACTGCGTATATTGTTCAACTTCAGATTTAGGATCAAAAATTGAAAGTCTTATGTTTCCTTTCATACGGATGTCCTCTTGAAATTCAGACTTGGAATTTGCAAAAGAAAGTGCTTGCAGTAAGGGCAATAATCTTGAGTCACTGCTCAAAATGTAAATACAAATATAGTTTCATTTCCTAACTGAAACTAGAGGAATTACTTGTGGGTCAAAACATGGGGAGATGAAAATATGCTGGGGAAGCATGCGTGAACATAAAAAGGAAGCGTACAAGAGGTGGAAGCAGGCCAGGTGGCCTACGGGGAATATAGAGACAGTGTCCAAGCATACGGGGACATGATTAGGGAAGCCAAAGCCCACCTGGAGTTGAATCTGGCGAAGGGCATGAAAGGCAACAAGGCATACTAGTGTGAGTATATCAGCTGCAGAAGGAAGATGGGGGAAGAAGATGGCCTCAGAACATGGCAAGGGACCTAGTGACAGGGACACAGAAGAGGAAAAAGTAGTGAATGCTGCCTTTGCCTTGGGCTTTACTGGTGAGACTTGCTTTCAGGAATCCCAGGCCCCCGAGATGAGCGGGAAGGTCCGGACCAAGGAGGGCTTTGCCCTTGGTTGGTATCAGGTCAGGCAGCATTTAAACCAGTTGGACGTAGTCCAGTGGACGAGTTCATGAGACCTGATAGGATGCACCCATGAGTACTGAAGGAGCTGGCTGATGTCACTGCGAGGCCAGTCTCAATTTATCTGAAAGGTCATGGGAATGAGGCAGGTTCTTGAGGACTAGAAGAAAGCAAATGTCACCCCTGTCCTCAAGAAGGGCAAGAAAGAGTATCAAAGGGATTTAGATGCAGGTCAGCCTCGCATCAGTCCCTGAAGAGGTGATGGAGCAAAGCCTCCTGGAAGCCATTTCCTAACATAGTAAGCACAAAATGATGATGGGAAGTAGTCAGCATGGTTTTACAAAGGAGAGATCAAGCCTGACCTGATAGTCCTCTATGATGAGATGGCTACATTGGTAGATGAGAGGAGAGCAGTGGATTCTGTTTGTCTGGACTTTATCAAGTCTTTCCACACTGTATCCCACAGCATCCTGTGAGACAAGCTGATGAAGTACAGACCAGGTAGGTGGACAGTGAGGTGGACTGAAAACTGTCTGAGCTACTAGGCTCACAGCTGTTAGCTGCACAAAGTCGAGGTATTGCTTCAGGATATGGACTTGGCTACATAGCCACATAATAAACTTTACCAAAATATCAGTTACTTAACCTACACTTGCATTGTAATCACAAAGTATTTCAAGCAATCAGATACTGGATGTTCTCTTTAGGTCAGGCCTTAGCTTTTATCTACTAGCTGCTAGCACAGTTTATTTCATTTCTGGGGTATATGGTAAATGAGTTCCTTTTGAAATAGGGACTTAACATAGTTAAACCATTACACTTTGAATAATTGATAACTGAAACTTGTACGCTTTCCTGAGGGGTGTTTGTGCTCAAATTGATATTTTCTTCATTGTGAGTGAATTTCTTGAGTGAACTTCCATCTTTTACAGAAGAAAAGTAGAAGTTTGAGGTTTTTAGTGAATCTGAGTGTACTGGTTTTTGGTTTAAGAAGCAAGGTTCCATATCTTGCAAATAAAATGTGCTGATACGGATGCATTATGTACAGTCCACTACAGTTTATAAAAGAAGGCTGCTTCTCCCTTCCCCCTGCCACCAGGGCATTAACTGTGGTTTGATTCCAGGTAGCTGAGGGACCATGATTCCCTGCATATAATTTCTGAATAAAATGTTATCAGTTGGAGAAGTGTAACTGAGTTGGTACTGAGCATAACTTGCTCTTGTTTACACTTGCGTTTAGTAGTGCTGTAACAGTTGTCTTTGCTGTTAGACTTTTTTGTACAGAAAAAGATTTAAGGGACAAGTGATTTGGTTTGAAATAAATTGAAGCTTAGCTCACCTTTTTCAAGATTTGTTTTGTGTACTTTCCAAGGTCTCAGGGGAAGTAGCTATTCTCTCTACTTCAGCAGTTAATGATGGTTAAAGTGCTGATTACAGACTTTGAGCTTTTAGGTGCCAAGAATTCAGGGTTTATCTTGTCTTTCCCTTCTAAATCTCAGTTTGTGAATACCTCTTACGGCTTTTTTTTAAGGATGAGTTAGTATTCCACGTAGGATTTGTGTTGTCATTGCTGTTTAAAAAACATGCAGTTCAGCTGGCTTTTTTCATCCATCTGAAAACTTCTGTAGTATGGTTTTAACAGTGCACGAAAAGAAACACAGTAAACTTCTCTAAGGTCCCTCTCCTTTCTTCTTTTAGGATGCCATTAGGTAAGGTAAAGATTTTTTTTTTTTGAAATGGCTGCTTAAATTAAGAAACTAGTGTTTTAAAATAAGAGGAAAAGCTTTGGGCTAGTGCAGGGAAGGAAGTAGTCCCACTGCAGGAGAGACAATGGTCAGAAATTTGTCTTGTTGCAGTATTTGGTATTAGTGGTCTCTGTGATACTCGACTGTTCACTTTTTGGCTTTGTCTCTACTAGAAATTTGCCTTGGTACCTATAGTCGGTAGTTTGTAGTGGTCATAGCCTCTGTGTGTCTGGCATTCTAGCGAAGTGTTAATAGCATCAGTGAGGTTTACTTCTGTATCTTGAAAACACCACATATTACCTAGTTTTGAGCACTCTGCATCTAGTCTATATGACAGCTTATGTGAGTTAGCAACTGTTGAGGACAAGAGCTAATTTAGACACAAACAACGTCTTTATCTCTGTTTGACCTATGGAAATAATGTGTATAATATATATCCTTTTTCTTAAAAAAAAATCTGTAAGGTGCCTTTTCTAGTAAGGCTTAGTACCAATGTCAGGAGTCATTAAGTAAAGACTTCTGCCTTGCGTAGGAAAGCTACCCATCTATTGCAGATTTATTTTGAACTTATTCTGTGGTAACTGATTTTCCAGTCGCAGTTTGGCAGAAGCATGCTCAGACGGGGATGTAAATGCTGTCCGGAAGCTGTTGGATGAAGGAAGAAGCGTCAATGAACATACTGAAGAAGTTTGCACAAGAAAGTAACAAATATAATCACAACTAAACCTTTGTGAAGCGTTGTCTAAGGGGCTGCTTTGGTAGGTAAATCTTTCAGCTATTCTGATTATAATTTACAATGTGAACAGAATATCAACTAATATAGCTTACCATGGACTTCAAGTTACAGTTTGTTTTTTTAATGGAATATGCCGTCATATATGTCTTTAGGCTTCAGGGACTTTTGTGAGGAATGTATCTTGTGTTTTATGATGTATCTGCTTTTCTGGCATTGTTGTAGATGCAATCAAGCTGTTCTGCCAAGCAGACATTGCAAGAGAATCTAAAAGAGCAGCAAAGTTGAACACTACAAGTGGTTACCTTCTAAAAACTCATGTCACAGTCACTCAATCCTTTTTTCTAATCACATCTGTATCAACACTGCATTAATTTGTGTTAATTTGTGGCTTTTATACTTTTGTGTCTAAGGGCATTATTTGTGCTACTTTCAAGATGTTTAGGTGACATTTCTCAGAAAGTGGCCAGCTTCATGTTTTGGTGCCAGGCAAGAGTACAGGGAGAAAACTGTTTACCTGTAAGCTTGACCGGATGTGCTGCGGTCATTAGTGCAAGTTTACAATTTCTGTGCTGTCATTCTGGTTAGTGAATTACCCTGTGACTTTTTAAAATGTCAGTATTTTACTGTAACTTAATGCTGATTTTGGCAGATTGAATAAATGTAGAAAAATAGCATTTCCTGAATCACAGCACAGTGCAGGTAGTTACTATACATGGTCCTGGGGAGTGCCATTGGACTTCACCACTGGGGATATTACTGCAAGGGGATATCACAACTGGCTGGGGAATCATTCTCACAAGCCTCACTGAACTAAAAGCAAAATGTTGGTGTTACAATTTATTCATTAAAGTGAACTTTTTTCTCCAGGTGCTACTAGCAATGCATGCAAACGTTGAAGATCGAGGGAATAAAGGAGACATCACTCCCTTAATGGCAGCTGCCAGCGGTGGCTATGTAGATATTGTTAAACTTCTCCTTGTTCATTGTGCAGATGTCAACGCACAGTCTTCAACAGGTAACTGGGAAGCAGGAACATGGAGGATTAATAAGACTGGCCCATAAGACATGCAGCTGTTCTGAACATCAGTGTTCTTGTGTGATAGTTTCATACACAAGAAAACATGACAGTAACTATTAAGAATAGGCCGGATACATAACATTTGTGTTTAGAGTCTTACCTGGCCATTATTAAAGATTGTTTTTAATATAAACTGTAATGGAAAGCACAGTTCCTGTGAAAACCACTGTGGTGTTAAATGACCAGAAAAGTATGTGAAGTTTAGTTTTTCTCATCTGTCTGATCCAAAATTGCCCAGTAAAACGACCATGGGACACATCTGGTCAAGACCAGTTATTTCAGTCTATTACTTTTTATCAAAGAGGAAGTACAGTTCTTTGAGTATTGAGTGTTGTCTACATTGCTGATGCTTGACCACAGCTTAACTAACCTTGCTGAGAGTATTAACCTGCAGTTGGATTATGCTAATATTAAGATAAAATTTAAACTTTGTTCAAATTTTTAAGAAGTCAGGTGTCTGAACTATGAAATGTTGTTTTTATGTTGAAGTTTAGCTATATTAAGCAGAGCTTACCTTAAAATTGACTGTAGCATTTCAAACATGAGCCATATGTGATTGTCTGCCACTTAAAGTACCAGAGTTTTAAATGATAAATTTATTTTTATCCAGCCAGTAAAAATTCTTTTGGGGGATTACGGGATACATTCTTAGGCAAAAAAAAAACCCCAAACACCACCTCCCTGCCCAGACTCTGCACTGACCATGAAAATTGCTCTTTGATATTTGTGCATGTGTTTGATCTCTCTTTGTGTGCTGAAGTAGGAAACATAATAAACAAAGAAAAAAAAAATCCTGATTTGTAATATTGGCTTAGCATTAAGACACTTTCACGTTATAGTTCTGTTGGGATTTTATACCCAGTCTGAAATTATTGGCTGGAGTAACATTGCTGTCAAGTAAAAGGCGGCTGCTAGTGAGGTACTTGGTTTTGTTCAGAGCTGTTAAAACTAATTTCCTTTCCTGTATTAGGAGTGGGTGACGGAAGGGGCTTTCACGTAAACTACTTCTTCTCTGCAGGGAACACAGCTCTCACTTATGCTTGTGCTGGGGGCTTTGTTGACATAGTGAAGGTGCTATTGAAAGCCGGTGCTAATATAGAAGACCACAATGAGAATGGGCATACCCCCTTAATGGAAGCAGCCAGCGCAGGTCATGTTGAGGTTGCAAGAGTATTGCTGGAATATGGTGCAGGAATCAACACTCACTCCAACGAGTTCAAAGAAAGTGCACTTACACTTGCATGCTATAAAGGTATTGTCTCTTGCCTTGTTTTATATTTTTGTTTCACTTTATTTGCTAGGATTTATCTAACTAAAGCTTTCAGCTGTACTTTTGAATATTTTCTTAAGAGTTTTGGAATGCTTGATTTTGGTTTTAAACTCTATGTCAGGAAATGCTCATCCATGTTGTAGTGATACTAAGCCTTTGTACTTGTGTCCAAATGTGGTGAACATGTATTCAGTATGCTGCAGGTGAAGATTTATGACTGGATGCATCCAGACTTGTGCTTTGACACACCACCACTCTCCTCTTCCCCCACTACCACATTCTCTGTCATTGAGATTCCCCTCATCAACTATCTGCAGGTTCTGAAAACTTCTCTGTTAGTTGTTAGGAAAACGTGGAGTTACGATGAATGTTCCTGGAATACCTGGTGGGGTGAAAACACTCGTATTATTACTGGGTACTTTTTCTTCAGTATAATTTTGGAGGATGCCTATGAATTATATATTATGAACTTTTATGGACTTTTGATTTAACTTGCTACCTAAAGTGTCTACATAAAGTAGCTTAGTGCAATGGTTATCCAATGTACTTCTAAGTTTTTTTTCTTCTTCCAAAAACCTCCATAAAATTTCCAACAATTGTTTTTCTCCTAATACAAGCTTTAAAGATGAGGACTATTGTCAGAATAACTTCAGGTTTTGCCTCTGTGGTTAGAATTGGAGAATAGATACTATGTATAACCCATTTGAAAATTTGCATCTGGATTTGTCATGGATTTCCTGCAGCATGCAGTCATTCCTTACAAAGAAATTTCAGTAATGGTACTCCCGGATATGTTGGAGGGGCATTGCTGTTTCTTGTGACCTAAAACTTAATAGAGTGCTGTAATGTAAGGTCTTCATTGACTAGAGATTTTCTGTATTATCTTTTGTCAAGCTGTTTGAGCTACGTTGTCTTCCTATCATTTTATGTAAAACTAAGTCTTATCTTGGGGGAGGATGCTCATTGAGGGGATAAAATATATAATTTGTAAGGGACAATTTCTAAAGTGACAGAAGCCATAATAGAGTTGAAAACAAGTATTGGTAAAATTCAGTATAAGCTTTTAAAAATAGTGTCAGGTAACATAATATGACATAATGTGTGTATCTTAATTTTCAGAAATGTGTCTGTGAATGCTGTGATTATAAAGCTTAAAGTTAAGTTCAGACCTACATGGACCTATGTCTAAGAGATAATCACCCCCAATTTATGCTGCCTTGGAACACTTAAGTGATATGTTGCTGTACAGTTGAATACGGAATAAGCACAGTCTTTTGTATCTTGAAGTCACAAAGAAAAGTTCCTGTTGTGTAAACTTGGATTAGAGGCCTGTCTTCACCACATAGTTAGGCACTATCTGTGGGAAAGACTGTCTAAAAGTCTGGCTGTCTGTTTTGCGGTGGTATTTTTTAGAGTACTTTAAAAAGAGCAGGTTTGCAAATTACAACTTGTAAAAATCGTAATAGCAAACTATGAAAATATAAATTATTTCATTAAGTATATTGTAGTACTAAAAATTTATGGTACTAAATGCTTATTTATTTTCATCTGTTTTATTTGAAGGCCATTTAGATATGGTTCGTTTTTTGCTTGAAGCTGGAGCTGATCAAGAACATAAAACAGATGAGATGCACACAGCGCTAATGGAGGCCTGCATGGTAAATAATCTTTGTTTGTACTGCTCCATTTTCAATGAGAGGAATAAGAGAGATGATAAAATAAAGTGAGCCTTTGTTAACAAGCTGGTTTGGGTCTGCAAGTGAGTGTATGTTAGCTTTTATTGTAAGAAAGCCTTTACTGTAGTTACCACAGTTGGCCAGCTTCTCTGTCTAATTGGTCACAGGGAAAAATAATTTTAATTTTTGGGGGCATGATGCATTGTTTTAAATGCTCCCTGTGTGAAGTGTAGGGGTAACTAATCCGCAGTGCAGTAAAGTAGTAGGTTAAGCCCAAGTTACTTACACTGCAAAACAAATAGTTAGTTTTCCACCTTTGTCTTTATAAATACCGTCTCAGATCATCATGATAGGAGCCTTCCAGAAGGGCGCTGAGCTGGATGACTAATGCATTGCACTTGTCCTTTCACCACTCCAGGAAGTGTTTTGCATGTAGAGATGGTTTGCTCTCTTCTAGATTTCTGTAAATGGTGCTATGAGGTTTTTCTTTTGAAAAGAAAAGTGTAGGTCAAAAATAGTTTAGTTCTCAGTTCTTGGGCCATTCATATAATTTCAAAGGTGCCATTGAGTTAAATCTTACCTTTCTAGGAGCTTCATCTGTAAAAGTATATCTGCAACTGTTTTTGGTCAGACTTTAGGTTACCTTTTATGTATTCTTCAAGCTTGGGAACTTCTCTGAAGAAAGAACAAGGACCTTGTTTTCATAGGAAGCACAGCGAATGGAGGAAAACTTAATTTGCTCCCAGTAGCATGTAATCCTGAGAAGACAGGCTGCAATCTTCCTCCAGTCTTCTGAGAGATGGAGGATCAAGTGTTCTTTTAGTGCAGTTGTGAGGTGATGATGCAAGTGACCAAGGTCAGATGATAATGTCTTGAGCTGTGTTGAAGTCTGCTGATAGTGAGATGGTAATAATATCCTTGAATAGTCTTCCCTGTATGAAAGCTTAGTGCCAATAAGGAATTCAAAAGGATGTAGTTGCAGTGGGTGTAAGCTGTCACCTAAAGGAGATTGCAGCATGACTGCGAACTAAATGTTTTAATCAGCCCACTGTTCTGTTTAGGTTTAGTAGTGTGTGTTGTCCCTTGTTTTTTTTTTTTTTTTTGTTATTTCATGGTGATACAGTCTGAGCAATGGGTTGACTTGGAGGCTATGAAGTGTCTTGCTTGGAGAACATAAAGTTGTGTGGGTTGCCTGCATGTTTTTAGCTCTTGGATGTTTCAGACTAGTTTGCATTACAGAGTGCATATTGACCCTTAAAAGCAGCAGAGAGGAAACTGACCCTTTGAAGTCCCAACTCCGTGTTGAATGATGGAGTTTGTTCCTTGTTATCTTTTGGCTGCACCCTTGTGGAAGGGAACCATTCCACCAAATCAGTGTGACTTTTTCCGGTCTTCACTGTTTTCAAACTAATGAATGCTGCAAATACAGGAAGCTGAGATATCTAATCTCTGATCACCAATTATACTGTAATTGCCTCTGAGTTTTAGTATGTTTTGGTCAAGATGGAGTGCCACACCTAGGATAATGCATTTAGTTAGATGAGGTGGTTGTTGGTTTTAGTCAGCTTCTCTGAAAACAGCCTGGTTTTAATTTACAGACTTGATTGCTGTCAATCTCAGTTTACTTACTACCTGCTTTGTGGTCAACTGAAGACAAGGGTTGACAGGAGTCGTGTGTTTGATATCCCTCTTGTTCCTTTTTCTGTAGCTCTCTGTTAGCTATTTGAGTTACTGGCTGACAATTCTGGTGAGATCACAATGGGGAACTGGTAGCTCACTTGAGGTTGCTGTTCTATTAAGAACATAAGAAGTTCTTTAATTTTGGGAATTAGTGGAATTCTTAGCTTTAAAACTTCATAAATCGCCCGTAGGTATCAGTGCCCTAGCCCAGGCATCTCTGGTTTGAACCTTGGACAGAGAGGTCTTCTAATGTCTTTTTTTTTTTTTTTTCCCTTCCCTTTAGTATCGCCCAACTTTATTTAGATTTCATTCCAAGGACACAATATAAAAACATCTGCTGTTTGCCACTGATATTGGCCCTTTTTATGTCTTCCTCAGGAAGAAATATTCTTTAGCTCTCTAGCAAAATCTGTCAGTAGGCATTGGGGCTAGTTTAAAGAATTAATCCAGTTTAACTGTCAAATCCCAGGAGAACCACTGTGTCAGGTAAATCATCAAAGCTGGCTGACAGTTTACTCCTTATGGAAGGACCGCATATTTCTGTGGATGGCAAATGGAATGACTGGGGTGATATGTACCTAATACCTATGCAGCTACAGTATGCAAGGCAGCAAGTGGTTTTCTCTCCACTGAGAGATACAAAGAGCATGCTTCAATTCTTTTATCTGGAATTCTCTTTCCATCCTTAAGTTATCCTATTAATTGCGTATGCTGAAGAGAGGTCTAGTATGAAACATCCTCTGATTAGACCCTCAGACCTTCTATAACTCACTGAGCACTCTTTGCACGACTTGAACCTTCCCCCTTCATTAGGTGCAGATCGTAATCTGTTGTAGTTTTCCAAGATCTCTTCTCCAAATTGTTCCACAAGTTTGGGGTCCCAGTTTCTTAAGTTATGTAGGAGAGAGAAACTGTGTGAGTGTTTCTTTTTTCATAATGCCAAAGCTTCTTTGTTTCCCCTTTTCAGACGTATTGTGGCTCTCTACAAACCACACCTTCAGTGAAACATGGCTTTTTGGTACTTGGTCTATTTCAAGTAACTTTGAGGAGTTTAGTAGTAGTTTCTTGAGAAACTTGACAGCTGCCTTTATATTGCTTTGATTGGTAAGGGCTCAGACGGTCTCCTCTGGCAGTCCTAATTCTCTTCCTTCTATGACCAAGATTGCTTCACTGCAAGGCAGTTTTTAATCTCCTTTAAGATTTGAGTCTTCACTCCTCCTGTTACCTACCTCATTGTAACCCACTTCAGTTTCTCTGCAGGTGTCTGTCTCAGGATCTGTCAGTTGGAGATTTTTTTTTTTGTCTGTAGGAGCCATGAATCAACTACAAAGAAAAAGATCTTATTCCCGATGCTTGTTTTGGGGCTTAGTCATGGGGTGGGTTTATTACTTATAGTACTTGTTTGCTCTCTCTATTACTTCAGTGTCCCAGGTATTTTGCTGGATATTTAAGAAAGTTTTACCCTGTAACTCTTTGCTTACTCTCCCCAGAAAAACAAAAAACCAACATATATCTAGCTCTTTTTTCCTTATGCATTTAAACCTAACTTAGATGTAGGTGGAAACCTAAGTGTCAGTTTAATCGTGTCAGTTTGATCAAGTATTGCCATAACTATGTCATAAATTGAACCCTCATAAGTACAAAACCCCTGTCTTTTTAGGATCATTTTCAGACCTAGTATAATAGTGGTTGCAACTACAGCATCAAGTGACTTGAACTGTTTCTGATTTTTGTATTCACCTTTGTTTTGTAGGATGGACATGTGGAAGTGGCACGCTTGCTTTTAGACAGTGGTGCTCAAGTGAATATGCCTGCAGATTCATTTGAATCTCCACTCACACTGGCTGCTTGTGGTGGACACGTGGAGTTAGCAGCTCTTCTGATCGAAAGAGGAGCTAACCTGGAGGAAGTTAATGATGAAGGTTATACTCCTCTGATGGAAGCTGCCCGGGAAGGTCATGAAGAGATGGTAGCCTTGCTACTGGCACAAGGTGAGATCACTGTTGTTTCTTGAGCGTTTGTTATGAAGAATGCAGTGTTGACCATTTGCCATTAGGTATTGTGTGCAAATTCCTCTGATGTAGCATGTGTCTGTCACTGCTCGTTGCTGTAACTACAGAGCAAACACCCAAACTGTGGAGGTGATGAACATTCACCTTCCTGCCCTATGTCTGGTTGGTTAAAATAACAGCTATTTTGTTTCCTAGGGGCAAATATAAATGCGCAGACAGAAGAAACGCAGGAAACAGCTCTTACTCTGGCATGTTGTGGAGGGTTTTCTGAAGTAGCTGACTTCCTTATTAAGGCAGGAGCTGATATAGAACTTGGTTGCTCAACACCTCTGATGGAAGCTGCTCAAGAGGGTCATCTTGAGTTGGTGAAATACTTGCTGGCAGCAGGTATGTGTACAGTGCAAATGATCCAGTCCACAGATATTATAGACTCAATGATCTATATGATTTAGAATATACCTAGGCTTGATGGTGGCAGTGTTGTAACAAGAAACTGTGTTCTCAGATACTTTAGCAAGAAGAAAAAAGCATATGTTATACATTGTAATATTGTTTGATGCTGTTAACAAAGTGCCTCATGGAGCGCTGGATTCTGGTGTGTATCTAAAAAACAAAGTTCTTTAGGAACATTGTTTCTAGCCAGCTGTATTTAGGACAAAATGTTAATACAGATAATGCTTGTTTCTATATATTACTCTAGCTTTGAGCCTGATTATCTGCAGTCAGTCTCCCTGAATAACTACCACTTCAGGAATTGTGCCCTGGGAAATAGTGTGCAAGACAAATTCTGGAATGTGCTGAATTTCTGTAGTGAATGAGTTTTACCTACTACATTATGCAGTAGTAAAAATTAAATTTTGCTGGAGCTGGGGGGAAATGACACTTCAGTGTTCATCTGTCAGTTTAAAATTAGTAGCAACTGAAGTGTAGTAATCCTGCTTAAAATAATAAATAAAAAGGAGCTGCATCTTGAAAATCTTCCTTGTTATGGGAGGTGATTTATATGTATGCTCTTTTCTAAGCATAAGGATAAAATTGTCTGGATTTATAATTCTAGAAAGTAATGCTCCCTGTTCATCGAGGGACAGTAACAACTGTGTCTCTTTGTGCAGTGATACCAGCATGTGACATCGGTCACCAGCTCACTCGGAACGCTGCTTGCACTTTGCTTCTGATAATGTAGAAAGTTAAATGAGGACCCTTGTTTTGGCATCAGTGAATCTCTAAATATATCTCATACCTTGAAAATAAGAGAAAGGCTAATCACGTTGGCATTTTTCTTGAAGAATGATGCATTACACAGAAAGAATCATGCGCAGTTTTCACGTAGCTGGCATATGAAGCTAGTCAGATTATTTCAACAAAATGGTTTCAAAGCAAATGATGTTAAAGAGCAGGGAAGAAATGAAATTTATAGAAGTATATGGTCTTGTAGTATTAGCACTAATTCAATAACATGCATTTTGTCTGGTTTTCCTTGGCATGCAGATCCTTGTCAAATGGATAGTCTAGACAACTGTCTGGATTCACTTTTATTTGTTGTAATAACTTAAATCTTCTAAAATTGCTATAGAGGAAACGTAGGAAGAAGTGAGCATATAGGTTTAAATGCTTGTATTGGCAGTCGTGCTTTTTCCCAGCCTTGGCTCATCCCCTCTCCTCAGAGTATTTTTACTGTAAGAGCAATGCCCTTGGGCTGTGGAAGCTGTTGGTCAGTAGGATATAGCTGTTGTCACAGATAAAGTGCCTTGGTTTTTGTGTTTATCTGATATGAAATACTTGATAAGGAGATGTCCAATAAGAAAAAACTAATGCTGTGTTTCTAGGAGCTAATGTTCATGCCACCACGGCGACAGGAGATACAGCTTTGACCTATGCCTGTGAAAATGGACATACTGATGTTGCAGATGTGTTGCTTCAAGCTGGTGCTGATTTGGTAAGACTTCTGCTGCATCTTGTGGGGAAAGTACTTTGGTTTCAAACTGTATGCCAAAGCTTATACGCTTATAGAGCAGGAATATGAATTTCAATTGCTAAAATCATCTATGGGTGTGAAAAGAGCCATGAAAGAAACTTTAAAAAGCCTGCATATTCTGTTTGGTCTAAAAAATAAAAATTTATTGAGTAATCTTTCATTCATTAAGTGAACAGTTTTAGCAGTAACTTAGAATTGTGGCAGTTGATTATCTTCATTGCCGTATAATCCAAAAGTTTAAATGTTTAGCAGGATGTGTTTTCTGCATTGCCTTTATTCATTATGCTACTTCATTATTCCCAAACTCTTGTGGATTAGAGTTTACCTCTTCCACTGCTCTGAATTTAAAATGTTTTAGTATTAGGCGCTACTGCTTCTATATTTTAGTGTTACTTTCTGAACACTGTGACTCCCTTAATTGTTTAAAAGTACAACACAAAAAACCCCAAACTAAGCAATGCCTTCTAAATGACCAGCATAATATATCTTTGCTTTGTTACAGAACTCCTTTCTTTCTTGTAACTCTTGTTTTTAGCATATTGCTTTCACAGTGTTTATTTTCTGTAATGCATTTAATCATAACAAAGTTGTTTACATAATTGCCTTGACTCTTTTCATATTATGTAGTGGAAGACCTAAAACTGCCTCTTCATCAGCTGCAGGGGTATAATGTTTGTTTGGCTTTTAAGCAGTGAAAAACAATTGATGTGTTAGTCTTCTAAAGGAGTTTAGGAGCTCTATGTCGAATAAGGCGTAAGCAGGGAAGATTGTTCTTTTGGCTGCCTTTTCTCTTTTTTTCACCACTATTCTCCTTTTTCCATACTGTCTGCTTGTGTGGCTTTTTTTTTGGTTTGGGGAGAGGTTGGGCTTTTTTGTTGGATATTTTAGGGGTTTTTGTTCCTTTTAAATAATAAGAGTTCCAGAATAGTTTATCGTTCAAGTGATAAAACAACATCTTGATTAAGTTACTTAAATTTCAGTCTTAAATGAAGTATATTATTTTCTTAAGTTTATATTTACAAATATAAATAAATGAATACTGTAATTGTGAGTGAATAACACTTCCACTCTTCTTTGTGAATATACTTTTTTCAGGCCTTATTAATTCTTCTGTAGTAAAGCTGTGCTTGATATGTTCCTACCAGGAAGGAAGGTCATGTTAATGGGGGGGGGGTGGTGGTGGTGGTGTGTGTCTCTGGACTTTTTGGCACACCTGCTCCACTTTGCTCAATTCAGTGTTGGTTATTGAGCATCAGTCACTTAAGTAGAGACAGGTTAGATTTTGGAGGTTTTTAATGGCTGTTTAAAAGAAATATTTAGGTACTTGGTTATAAACAGATATAATCCATCAAGTATTTTGTAGTGAGGAGCAAACCCTGAAACAAAAAAGTATGTAAATTGCTATGCATGAATGAGATTCTGCTTAAATGCAACTTCAAATTGTTAGATTTGTGTCATATTTTTCCTCTCATCACTAAGGTGAGCAGGGCTTGTGGCCTTCAGCATCTAGTTCTGATCAGTATTGTTGAGAAAAATCTCTTGACTTTCTAAAGTAAAGTTTTATATTACTGCATTTTCTTGTATTGCCAATCAAAATGGGGAGATGTCAAGAAAAATATGGTAAGGAAGTGAAGGAAAATTGTACATGAAAGGGAGACCTGCCATATAAATCTACCAGTTTTGAATTCTGATTGTAAGTAAATGGGGAAATGCCTGCAAAACTGCAGTGTTGCTTATGGCAGGTGCCTTCGGTCTGCAGCAGTTTCCTTTCAAACCTCTGTGTTGCTTTCCTTTATTAGAGGTTGTAAGCGGTTTTGAATAAATTTGTTACCTTTCGTAGTTGTTCTGAGGAAGTTTTCTGAAGTGTGTTGTCTTACTGCCGGCGTATGAAAAAGCTGCTTTGGCAGTACTGTGGGAGACTGTTCTTCTAGATTTTAGTTTTCGTTAGTAATTTAAATGAGGTCAGGTGATTTCATGAAGTTGTCCCAGGAAGTCTGTGGTGGCGTGGGGAACTGAAGGCAAACCTGGACTTAGACCTCTAGTCTGTCTGTCTTCATTCATCTAGTTAAGTTTGCTTTCCTTCTGGTGTTCAGACACAGTAAATGAAAGAACATCTCTAGTTGCTTTTCTTGCTTTCCTTTTCCATCTTCCAATTTTCATCTTTCCTGGGATTGCTTTCACTAATGTTTCATTGTTTTCCTGAAACCTTCTTTAGACCTGAGGTTTGTATCACAGTCACCAAGGAGCTGGACATACAATATCTTACCCTGTTGTGGAGCAGTCCTTTTTAAGGAGAATACTGGTTATGAAACAGGAAAATAAAACAGGGTTGAGAGCTGTTCTCTGATTGCAAGGACAAATGGCACCCACTGAATGCATCCATGCTGTGCAGCACTGGGCTTGGCAGGTTACTGAGCCTGGCGCTGTGCCCTTGTGTCTGTAAGAATTCAGTGGCTACGTCGCAGCCCACTAGAGTGGTGTTCTCATAACACAATAGTGGGAGCGTTCATTGGACACCCCTGGGTTGTGGGATGAGGTCCTGATGGGTTCCTGGGGGGGTGCGAGGCCTCCAAGTCAAGTAGAGACTAACTTGATACCACATTTTCCATGCTGCCTGTTGGGAACAGTCCCCGGTGACCTCCTCCCCTGTGGTTCTTGACAGGGACAGAACTGTGCCAGGAAAGCTGCAAAGGAATAAGCAGTGTGAATGACTAGTGATCCCAGGCCTAAGCTTGTCTCCTGGCCCTGTTTTATTTACCTGCAGAGATGTAGGCATTGCTGGATTTTGCAGTTGTTACTTTATTGTTTTGTGAACCACCTGCATATTCTGTTTTATTCCAGACCAGGAAGGCAAGGAGCATAGTTTTTGAGAATTTTTCTTCTCCCTGATTCTAGATTGAGGAAAGAAAATTGATCTTTCTTCCCCAAATGCTCTTGAGTTAAAGGAACAATAAAAACACTGGCTGTCAAGATCAGTTCGCCCATTTCTTCCTGATGCAGAGCCTTTATTCCATGATTTTGAAAGCATATAATCTACTACAAGACCTTTATTCTTTCTTGGCTTCTCAGGTCTCTCTTAATTGCCAGGAGGTCAGGACTGAGTGGGATTTGAGTTGCAGACTTCAAGACCGCAGGTGTGAAGAGGATCCTCTTTCATGCTGGGTTAGCCAAGTTGACAGAGGGCAGGAGATGTTTCTGTCAGGGTGTTCCCTGTGTTGTGCTCACTGAAAGGTGAAGTCTTCCAACATTTCTGAAGTTAACGCAACTCACTCTACTGAACCAATTCCTGTGCGTTGCTCATGTCCACTTCAGGTTTTGTCAATCTCGAAATAGAACCTTGAGCTAAAGTTTGAGCAAGTTGTATGAGGGTATAACTCGGGTGGTGAGAGACTGCAACAGGTTGCCCAGAGTAGTTGTGGATGCCCCATGCTTGGTAAAGTTCAAGGTCAATTTGGACAAGGCTTTGAGCAACCTGATCTAGTGGAAGATGTCCCTGCCCGTGGCAGGGTGTTGGACTAGATGGTCTCTGAAGGTCCCATCCAACTCAAACCATTCTGTGGTATGATAAGCAAACCTAGCCTCCTAGTCCCCTGTAGAGTTTTGTCTGAGCTGGGGGCGATTATTACCACCACATTTCAGCCCAAAAAGGTGGCTGTTCTTGCAAGTAGAAAATGGGAACTCTCGCTTTTCAGGGCCTCATCCTCTGGCCTAGGTATCAAATATGTAATTTAGTTTGAGAACCAGTGAAGATCTCGAGAGCTCTGTTAAATTCATTAAGGAATGTGGCTTTGTAAGAACCAGGAGGACTAAAAGAAAATGATGGGTGAGATGAACTTTCTTCATTTTTGTGGTTATTTTTTCCTTAAAACTCTGCAGTGGCAAGTTATACTAGAAATGAACAGTGTCAGAGTACACGCTCATCTGTTTTTGTCTGCTGGAGAGCTGCTCAATCGTGTATGGTATTTTGATGAGTTTGTATGTCCTTGTGACTAACTGTTTATGAAGTCTGGCTTGTTACCAATTATTCTGATGCTTTTCTGATGCCCTTCCTTAAGGGATCTGTCTTTGCCATGTCCTTACAGGGACAAAGTTGGCCTGTCAAAATGTGTAACAAAATTAGCTTGGCAGGCATACACCTTTCCTTGTTAATGTATGCATTTTGATATCTGCTTGCTTTTGCCAATTATATGAATGACGTAATATGAGGCACATATGAAGACTTCAGCCTGTGATCCCATCTGTGCCTTAGTTGCATTCTAATTCTTTTATTACCTACAGGACTAGAGATTTTCTGGGTCTTAGTCTGCCCCCCTGCCACTGGACCAAATGTAAATTTTATTTGTTTACAGACTTCTTTATGGGGACAAAACACATTAGATTTTGTGATTAATAGGAGTAAAAATTTTGGAGATTAGAACTCTAAAATACAATTTGATAAAAACATTTTTTTGGGATGATGATGTGGTTTAATAGCTTCAGGAAAAAAACCCCATCACTTCAGTAATACAGACAAATCTGTGTGGCAAGGATTTGTCTGATCTCAAAGGGGAGAGGAGACTTCTGTTTTTCCTATGAGTTCTCTTTTTCCCCTTCTTGTCTTTACCAGCAGTTACGTTCATCTCAAAGCTTGTGTAAAGTAACACGTGTGGTGCATGTATGTTCCCACAGGAACTAGGTTAAGAACTGTAAAGCTCACAAAAAGTGTTGGTGATAGTTGATGAGAGGTCATATCCTGCTTTTAAGCTGTATACCTTTCTATAAACTAGAAATGCCTGTTTGGATGCCTGTGCCCTTTTAATGTAGAATCAGACCTGGATGAAGTGCTGCGCACTGAAGATTCCAGTCTCTTTCAAAGCGAGATTGCTCTGGACAAGGTGATTGCATCTTTCCCTGTTTCAGTGTACCTGAAAACAAGAGATTGTTCTTTTCTGGACAGCGATAAGATCACAGCTTTTCTCAGCTGAAAGTACAGAAATGAGTTTTAAATTGGGATTTTCTGATCTGGGTTGCCTTGCAGCTGTATGTGAGGCTCTGCTGTACAGGAGAGTTGATCTACTGATGGAGTTTCTTTCTACTACAAGATAGATGGGTGCTTTTATGCTGAAATTGAGAGATGGAAGAGAACCCCCAAGGACGGCTTCATCCTTGCATTTTTCTCATTTTACACCTCCAAGGTCTCCCCAAAGCTCTTTATACTTGTTAAGATTCCACACATGGCTTTCCTTAAAAGACTAAAACTGGCTACGTGGCACCCACATAACTCCAGCTGAAGGAAAAAAAAAAAAGGCATGCCAAACTACCTCTTGATTCTTCCCCTATGACAAAATATTTTTAGACAGGTGTTTTTGTCATTGCAGGGATCATTGCTTTGCCTTCAGCTGATAACATCCCTCATGCTAACATGGCTCCTTAAGTAGAAATTCAGTTTCCTTTATGTGTAAGACACACTGCATGTTTGATGCAGTGTGCATAAGGCAGCATTTAAACGTCTACAAAAGTAGCCAATACTTCATAGATTTGAATGAAACCGTGCTGGAGAAGGATATGTTGTTGTTACGGTGAGGGGTATGAGAAGCTGTCATATTTTTGCATACTGTTTCTTGAACCATCAAGGGGAGTTCAGGGATTTTAGGTCTTTTTTAGACTTGGCCCTCAGTCTTCTACAAGTAAAGCAAAAGATTGTAGGACATGTAAAGCTAATTTTTGTAGTTAACACCTTTTGGATGTTGTGTTGCAGTCTCTGGATGGTGCAAAGTGCAATGGAAGTCCTCTCTCTGGCCAGCAGTGCACAAAAAATCATCTTGTATTTAACGAGATGCTGTGTATGACCTTTGTTCTCTCTTCATGAATCTGAATGGCTTGTGATAGGAGTCTTAACAGGCGACAGCTGCATTGCTTGGTCTTACCTTTGTGCTTGCTTGCCTAATTCCAGCAAAACAGTTTTCAGCCGGTCTATCTGATCCATTTAAGTTCATGTTCCAGGTCTTCATGACCAACAACATTTATTTGCAGAACAAGAGCCGTGAGTTCTTCTTTTTCCTTCCGCAGGACAAGCAGGAGGACTTAAAGAAGACTGTTTTGGAGGGCGTAGAGCCGGGCAAGCATCAGGTGAGGTTGGCCTTTGATGCTTGTAAGCTGCAGCCTCAGGATACATGCTAATGACAAGCATGTTTTTAAGGCATCTAAGTTTCTTCAAAAATACAAAGACTTGCTGTGTAGACCAGACGTGTCATCTTTGTCCTTCATTTTCCCTTCTGTTGGGTTTTCTAAAACCCTGTTTTTAAAAAACAGTATGTCAACATTCACAAATGCAGCAAGTTATCTCATTGAGTGTGTTAGCACCAGTTGCTATGCTAACCCTGTTGGTACATATCTAGCTTCCTGTCAGGTCTTCCCTTTTCAGATATTTACTTTAAACTAGAGGTCTAGCAGGGTTTTTAGGTGCCTCTGAAATACAGATTTCCTACGTATCTCAGGAAGGTTATTTGGGACAGTGAGGCTGGTGACTGCTAGAATACTGTATCTCTTGATAGGAGTTCATTCTTGAAAATTAGCGTAGTGGCATAGTGTGAAGAACTGTATTGTTTGCCTATTGTCTAGCATCAAAAACTTGCCTAAATCATTTTGCTTAGAATAGCATTTAGATTTCTGTTAAATGTTTGCCGTTGTTGTAGATGAGAGGGGCTTGTTAAAGAACTGAAGAGAGCAGTTGGACCTTTACTTTGTAAGTGGAGGTTTTGTTCCAGGCCTTTTAAATAACATATGATGTTGGAAACAAAAAAACATCCTAGTGAATAATGCTTGTGAACCAAGGAGAATAATGGGGCGGGGTGGGGGACAAAGCCCTTATGTAACTGATTTTGGAATTGCCTAAAGCAATGAAATCAAGAACAAAAAAAAAATATCAGTGATTGTCATAAAGTGCCTCTGATGACACTGCTTTTGCTCTGCTTTATGAAGGATCAGTTTGTCTAGAAAGGAAATGATTACTGACTGGATTGTCATCTCCTTTTTGAATCCCGGTGGAAAAGGTGTAGATAATGTAAACTCTTACCTGATTTGGGTAATACTCTCCACTTCCTCTTCCTTCCTATCTGGTACCCAAACCTACAGAAAATTATTCTCGGACGTTGTTTCTATTCAAGCAGAAAGAGCAGAAGAGCATGTCACTCGAGTGTTTAGAGAATGGCTTTTCCAGTCAAAGCTGGCATAGGTGTTCTCCTTTATAGCTCCTTCTGATCTTACTAACCGCAATATTTCTCAGGATTGGAGCAGTGAAGAGAGACAGTGACGAGTCGTACAGTGTAGATAGCCAGGGAAGTTGTCTTTGGAAATGAGTACTCCTTGCTAGTTTTTGTTCTTACAAAATAAGCATTTGCATGTATTTCATATTAATACAAGTTAAAAATGCATTGGAAAGCTGATGGAGGGTACTTTTGGACAGCTTTCATGTTCTCTGTCATGATTTTGATTATCTACTACAAGCTACAATAAAACCCCAAATCTTTGAAATTTATGGCCATTCCAGGTAGAAGAAAGGATGTGAGTAGACAAACGCACTGCACTAGCTCAGCTGCTTATTTTGGCGGCTTCTAAATGTTTTCCCTTAAAGCCTGAGTTGATGTGAACTGCTAGCCTTTATTAGAGCTAAACAGAGTGCTGAAGTCAGAATTAATTTCATCTTGAAATAAATATGCATTTCTGTCTTCCGTTATGAAAAATACAGTCAAAATGCAGTAACTTTTGAAGATCTACAGCAGGTGGGCACACAAATGGTTTAGTTTGGCTGGACTGATGCTGTGTATGGTACTGCAAGTATTTGAAGTGTATAATAGTTGAGGATCAAGTTCTGCGTGCTTGGTGAAGTGACAGTTGGTTAAACTGGGCAGAATAACTGCATTGCATTTAAATGAGGAAGCCTTCTGACATCCATGTTTAAAACTTCAACAGTGAGGTCTGTTAGGAATAGAAAACGTTGCAGATAGTGATACCTTACTGATAGTTATCTGAAATGCTACATCTGAATGCAATATAGGATGGTTTTTCGCCATCTTGAATATAGCTACAATGACCTAAGATAGATTTTGTTTCTTGGCACATTTGTTGTTGCATTAATGGGCATTTAGAAACGTGTATTCAGGAATACTGAAACTATTGGAAGGAGTTGATTTGTTCTGTCAGATCTATTCTTGTCCTTTTATATTTGTAAATAGCAGTATCATTCACTGTCAGTACTAAATGTTAACTTTCACTGTTAGATTTACATGCAATTCTAGAAGTAAATAGTGAACTTGGAGCTTGGCTTCCCAGATATTTCATTAAAAAAGCCCCGAGGTCCTAGTATATTATTGATCAGACTGAATATTCAGAGTGCAAATACAGCCACTTCCAGGAAGATAGAAGAGAACCCTTGTTGCTGCTGGAGGGTTGGTATGCATTAGTCAACAATTCTTTGTGATGTGGAACATGTCTACATAGAAGGCAAGCTTTCTAATGCTGTAATTTTTCTAAAAGAATTGTATTCAACCACATTTTTCCAGTATTCAGAATCTTTTTAAATGAGAGAACTCGTATTTTCTCTCATTCTTTTTTGTTGGTTTGTATCACCCTTTTGTCTTCTCTCTGCTTTATTCTCCAATCCTCGTATTCAGAGACTTCTTGTGACCTGCAGTGATTTGTCTCATTTTTATTGCTGGCCATATTCAGCATGTTTTAAAAATGTTGTCTGCACTTCAGACGTTATTGCAATTGTAAAGGTCCGGCATGCAGCATGTGATAGCTCCCAGAACTGTTGCACATCAGTTCATAGTTATTTGTAAACTTCCTGATGTTGGATATTTGTGTTAAATAGTTGTCCCTTTTTGAGGAGGAAACAAGACGTTACTGTTCTCGAGTATGTTATGCGTTTGAACACTAAAATAGAACAGGGTATGTAAGTAGGGAAACTTCCTTGTGTGATAACAGTATGGATGTGGTCTTAATGCTTTTTGACAATTGCGATTCAGTGTTTAAGGTAACATGAAAATTTATTCCGGTCAGTTTATATTGATTACAGTCAGCTTGTAAGATAGCTCTTCTGCTGAGACAGGTAATGCTGGTGCCATCATGAGATGGTTCAAAAGCTGAAATAATGGTATAATTTTTGCCCATTTATACATGTATAACAGATTTATTTCTCCTTTACAATAGGAGCATGAATCTGAAGGTGGGAGAACCCCACTAATGAAGGCTGCGCGAGCTGGTCATTTGTGCACGGTGCAATTCCTTATTAGCAAAGGTAAAATGCTAGTTTAACTAATTTTAAAACTTCAAATGCAACTTTACAATTCTGCATGTTTGTGACCCTTCTTCAAAAATAATTGGGTTATGTTTATATGAGCATAAAACCGTTAAGGGTTTTTTGAATTTCATTTAGTTCATGATACAATGAATTACAAAATATTTTGCTAGTTACTTTTTCTACTCTGTTGTATAAATTAATAAATGGATTTGAAGTATAACACATATTTTCAGTTTCTTAAAAAATCACTCATTCAGAAAAAACACATCCTCAAGTACAGTCTGAAACGGTAAAAATTGCACCATGTAGTGTTACTGATAAGTGCTTAGAATGGAAGTGTACAAGTTATGCTTTGTGTACCATAAGTGTTCCCTCTCTTGCCACTTACAAGGCCAACTGTTGCTGTCATTACTGCCTTGTCTTTACAGGATAGGGAGGATGATGTGTAGAAGCCATCAGTTATTAAAATCCCTTACTTTTACCCTAGAAGTGTGTATGAATTAGGAAGATTAGGAGAGAAAAGTTTATCTCTATTCCAGAAAATACTATATTTGTTGATACTTTATTTTTAAAAGAATTTCCTTTTGTTTAATTGAGGTCTGTCTTTTATAGGTGCCAACGTTAACAGGGCTACAGCTAATAATGACCACACGGTGGTGTCACTGGCATGTGCCGGAGGCCACCTGGCAGTTGTTGAGCTGCTTCTGGCTCATGGTGCAGATCCTACTCATCGACTCAAGGTATTCACTTAAAACTATGCAACTAGCATAGGTACTGAAAGAACTATGTAGCTGATTTAATGGATTAGTAAATGTCCAATTTTAAATGGTCTAATTCATTTCTTATGTGCTACATCAGGTAGCAAAATTCATCTTCTGGCTTTTTATTTCTAAAATATCACTTCAGGATGGCTCAACAATGCTCATTGAAGCCGCCAAAGGAGGACATACAAATGTTGTTTCTTATTTGCTGGATTACCCAAACAATGTTTTGTCGGTTCCTGCAGCGGACTTGTCTCAGCTCACACCTCCATCTCAGGATCAGTCTCAGGTAAGGTGTAAGGAATTGTTTTTTAAATATCACCGTGAATGTTGCAGAGAAGCACTTCCTTAGTAGTTAACTTCTGAAGTTACTTTAGATGTGAACATATGCGATGGAAAGAGTTTGAAAGAGTCTGTGCATTTGAAAATGGTGTAGAGAGTGAAAAAGTTGATTGGTATTGTCTGCAGTATCCTGAAGAGTGCATGAACTTAGTTCCCTTTTCTGCTGCTTAGACAGGATAGTCCCAAACCTAGTATCTCAAAAGAATATGATTTTCTTGGTTGCGTTCGCTCAGTATTTTGTTTCAACAGTTCTAAACACTTGTGACAGCACACCTCAAATGTTGCTGCTTTTAGTTATTTTATGAAAGAAAATATATTGTGTAAACTTAGAGTTCTGCAGGCTGGAGAGGTAGCGTTCCAGGGGAGTTAGCTGATTGAAAGCCTAAAGATGTTAACAGTTTTCCAGCCTACACAGCCCGGGATTTTGTGAAGAATAAGTTTACTTTGACATACTATCCACAATAAAATAGCATGGGACAGGTCATACCAAGAGGTAGCCTAGCATACACAGTTTGGGAAAAGTGGAATGGAGGTCAGCTTAGAAATACATCTTTGTATCAAGACTTCAAGATCTGGTCCATTCAAAATGTTTTTTTTTTTCCTCTGAGTCTGTGTCTGTGGCTTTGTTTTAAGGTTCCACGTGTACCGGTGCATACACTTGCTATGGTTGTACCTCCCCAGGAACCTGACAGAACACCTCCAGAGAACTCGCCACCTCTCTTGGGAGTGGTGAAAGGTTAGTATGTAGCCACTCGGATAATATATGCAATTTGAAAACTGATAGGCTAGGAGCAGTTTTATTAGAGAGTATGCATAGTGTAGTCCGCTCCATCAATTCTTGAACACCTCTAATGAAGTATATCTTTAAAGTATTCTATGTAGTGCATAGTTTTTGCTTATGTTCTGGTATCCTACAGTATAGTAACACTGGTTATTCTAATTTTATTATGCTTATTCTAATTTATTAGAATTATGCTTATTCTGTTTTTTGGAAGAAAATGATTGTAGTAACTGCCATAATGTGCAGACTGATAAAAAACATTAACAAACTCTAGATGTGGTGTTAACTTTTGAATATTGTACATTGGTTGTCTAGAATAGTTGCAACTATTATCCATGAGCTTGATGTATCAACTTTTTCCTGTTCCTACAGTAGAAATGCAAACGTGTTGGCATGGTAAAATGCCAATGCGGATCTACTTAAGGGAGATTTTTTGTTATATTAGTAATAGTACTCTTGTAAGTAATCGTAACACCAGGGTTTTTGCTTTGAACATGGTTGAACTGATTGGTTAAAACTATTTGCAGTTATTAAATGGTGAATGTAACAGTTTATTTCCAGCTATGGATTCTGTAACAAATTCTTCATGTCTGCTAAGTCAGCTCAGAAAGAGAAGCAGATTCTGAAGTGCAAAGTTACAAACTGCAGCTCCTAGTAATTTACAGTTTTGGATGGGGATATTAAATATTATGGTATCCAAAGCTCAAAGCTCTCTTAGCCAGTTTTACTTAATTCCTTTATTCTGGAAGTGCTCAGTGCTTCCTGAAACAAACACACAAAAAAACTCCAGGGGCACAAATAAAGAAAGAAAAAAAAAAATTGTGTGCCTAATGGTGTTTAAATGTGCAGCCGTGACTCTCCATGCATATATGTCATGTGTGTGACTTCTCAAATGCAGTTGTATCATTTTCTTAGGGTCTGCAACACTTGATATTTTGGATTTCATAAAAATAAGTAGCAGACAAATCAAAAGAATGTGCAACTTCTGGTTCAAATAAAACAGCAAAAAGCTATGTACCAGCATATGTGCCCTTACAATTAAAGAACTATTAGTATTGTGAAGTGGGTTAGTGTTCTGGAAGTACATTTTGTGATGCATGGGAATCAGTGAGAGATTAGTTTGTATTGAGTCAGAAGGCTGAAGTTATAAACTTAAAGTCTAATGTTATTTGATCAAATTCTGAAAAGCAAACAGTTCATTGTAGTTTAAGAAATAGCTCACATTTTTAAAAAAAAACCTTATTGCAAATGTCAGCATATACTTCAGGCATGTTTTTAGCAGTACCGTGTTGCTGGAACTGGCACAGAGAGTTCTAGTTGTTCTTAGTGTTTTAGGACATGCTTCATGCATGATGGATGTGCTTCATTGCACAGATCAGCAAAACTGATCTGTGATGTGTTCCAAGAGATGTAGCAATCTGAAATGTGTCATTAGGCTGATGAAACATTCCGGACAACTTTGTGTGCAAAGCTTTTGTGTATCTCAGGTCTTTAGGGGGAAAATGGTATTTTTGTGATAAACACAAATCACTGTGATCATTGTAGTGATACCACTCTGCTACATTAACTGTGATAGAGTTAGTGTTCTTTGAACTTCCATTCTTGTTATACTCGCATGGCTTTAATATACCAGACTTCCATTGTTAGACTTCCTGGGAGACGAGGGGCAAAAAAGGGTGCAAATAAAGGCATGTACATTATTTCCGTGGTGGGGGGAGGAAGCAGACTGAAGTTCTTATGAAGAAAATTGTTTATCCTGGCAAAGACGAATTTATTGCCATCACAGTTAGAAGTAGCCCACTGAGTTTATACAAAAACTCTGAACTACTTGGAGGAAGGAGAGGAGCACCTAGCCTGCTTAACCTCAGTGCAGTCTGGTTCTTAAGGACCTGTATTAGTTTTGCAAGAAATGCAATGGTAACAACTTGTTTCCTGAAGAGTTCTTGGAAACTTGAGTGTAAAACTACAATACTTTTGTATGTTATTGTTATGGTTCAAATATGGTGTGAGATTTTTCAAGAGGACTTTATGGTCTAATATGGTCTAATTTTAAATTATTATTCTTCAGTAAGGTAAGAAAGAGTATGGAATAGTTGCCATCTGAATAATTATTGTGGAAAAGGGTTTAATATCAATGTTTAGCAACTGAAGAGAGAAACATTTCAGAACTGACAGTGGATCTAGAGAGACTCAGATAAACATGATATGCAAAGATGGTAACCTCGTAAGGAGCTGAAGAAAAATGAGGTGAAAGAAGAAGCAAAATTAGTTCATGGGACTGAACAGACCTCAAATCTTACATGCTTAGGAAGGGTTGTTTCTAGTGCATTACGTTTAGCATGTGTTTATTGTGTCCACATGAAAGTGAAATCCCAGTGAAGTTCAGCTCTTTGTGCTTTTGTGGGGAGAGGCAGAAGATCCCTCCTTTGGTGTTTTGTACTTGCTGCCGCCCTTATTTGAAGGTGGTCAGGATTGCTCAGCAGCCAGCAGCAATTCTGATGCAGCAGGTTAACTTGAAGAGTCTTTTGGCTAGAAATGTGCTATTTCTCCAGGACTGGAGGGTCTCCTCTGCTTTACACTGCGAGGGGTGTAACACGCAGTGGCTATGATGCAGCTTTAAGTGCCACTGCATCTGGTTCCCTGGGCTGAGGGGTTCTTGGTGCCCAGCATATGAAATGGTCAAAAGGAATGCTGTTGGATTTCTTCAGGAAATCAGCTGGTTAGAATAACCAGTGTTGTCATTGATAAGTTTGGTTTGTAAATGAAAGCTAATGTTTAATACCAGTGGGATCTGAAGCTCTCAGTGGTGTTCGTGATTCTGCCTTAGTCTTTCACAGAGTGTGCCTGGTAAGGACAGTGACTTGAACCCATGGCATGCTTCTAGAACATTATTGAAAACAAACACAGGAGTGCAACAAGGGAATGTTCAGGAAGTCTGTGGAAAGCAGCAGGATTGTTTTCTTAGTTGAAATATTTGAACTATGTAAGGTGTTTTTAAACATGTCAAAATTTAGTCTATTTTTGGAGGCTGAGGTATTCAGTTATTTTGTAAGTTATTTCCAGATTTGTTTTACTTCATAGCCAATCTGAGATTCTGCTTACAAATTAACTAATTGGTCTTAACTGAGTGCTTAAAACCTATCAACATGCTGTCATTAGACTTCTCCACTGTTGCTTTTAAGTGGGCAGTAACTTGCAGCATTTCTCATTTGGGGTGCATGTTTTTTTAGAATTCCACAAGACCTAACAGACTTAAGTTATTCGTGTGAAAGCTGCCCACATCTACCTTTGATCCCTGAGAAGGAGACCAGAGTTCCCTTAAAGTTGAATAGGATTTTAGGAATCTGTAAGCTTTTTAAGTTAGACCCTCAATGTACGATACCCCCCTGTAAGCCTGTGCTAAGTCTAACAGTCTGATGGCTTGGAGAAAGGAAAGAAAAACAAACTGCACATAGCTTCAATAGCTACAAATTCAATAAACATTTTTCACTTCAGTATCTGACTTTTTTGCCTAATTCCGAGTTATACACTGGCAGAGTTCTCGTACACTGTGTGATTTAATTGAAATAGGGGCCAGGTTAACAGTAGAACTAGAAAGATGATGTTGGTGTCATTGAGGTGAAGGCATTCAGAAAGCAAGCCGATATTCTTCCTTTTCCGTTCTGACTCCTTTCAGACTTCTCCACCGTGCAGTGCAGCTGCCTGTTCATTGTTTCACATGCTTCAACATCTTCTGATTAACTCTTGCCATTTCCTCCATATTTTCTGCCTTGGTTAGCAGCTGACCCAGTATCCAGTATCTGGAATGAGTTACCAAATGAAATATAGCAGTCCATGCCTCATGGCTTTCTAACTTCACTAATACTTTCCTAATAGGCCTAAAGACTTGTTACTCTTTTATGGGAATCTTTAACAGTGCAGGCAGGTGATTTAAAAACAAGACACGTGTAGGTCCCTGAGAGCACAAGTGTATAAAAATCTTTTCATGGTGATTTGTGAAATTCTGCTCCTTTGAGGCTTCAGTCACCTGCTTGCTACTGACTAGTTTAATTACATCATAACAATTTTCCAGTTAGAAACTGTCAAGCCACTAGAGGAAACTTGGGAAGAAGAGTAAAATTGGAAAATAACTCAAATTTTTGAATGTTATATACTTGAGTTAACTTCAGCTTGGTTTCAGCCATGTAACCACTGTCTGTTGGATGTCATTGCACCTATTCCCTGGAAGTTTTCCATAGAAACAGCTGCAGGAGTGATAAAGGTTGGCAGAAATACTGCATGGTTCACAGGGGGAACATAGTGAAAATACAAACTCATCTGATCATTCAGCCTTCCACAAATTGTCCTGTTCTTTATAAAGAAGAATGAAGTATGTATTAAAAACAATATAGCAGATCGATTTACTTAGGAAAAGTAGGGTACTTTTTTTGTTGCCCAGTTAGCCAGATTATATAATATTGTACCTTGCATATGTGTGTATATGGATTGACTGACTGTTTCCCCGGTTCTTAGAGCTGAATTTCTTACTGATATGAATTAGTTAAACACGGAATTTTCATGAAAATTCAATATTGAATATTCAATATTATTCCTGTTGATGAGGTTGGTGAATTTTAATTGTAGACTGGAAATCTAACTCTCGACTTTGAGTGAAATCAGATTTTTTAAAAACCCAGAAGTGCAAGAACAGTGGACAAGCAATTCTGTTAACAAAGCCCAAAGATCTTAGTATAGATTTATGCTTCCTGACAGCTGCCTTTTGTGAAGTGAGGAACAGACTGAATCTGGGTTTTTTAGTTGGTTATTTTGTGATGTGGCTTTTTTTTTTTAGGATGACATGATGATTCATACAGATTTATGTACTAGGAAGGTGTATTTGAATGTATAAATGTATATCACCCAGTTAAGTCTTTTCTTGCTGTCATTTTTTTCATGCTGGAAAAATCTTCTGGTATGTAAATATTTGGATTTGGATCCACTCTTTTTTTTTAAACTTTTTTCATTTAACAACTCCAGAAATTAAGGAGCTGTCAACAAGTCCCAAAATTTTTTCTGATAAAAAGTAATGTATAATATAACCATTTCAGGTGGTGCCCAAGATGGAAACCACTAAGCTGAAATGCAGGTTGTGTTGACAGAAACTTTCTGAAGAGTATAATGGATTGTAAAATCAAACTTTTTACTTTTCTGAGAAGACTTTAAGAATATAATGAGTTTTATTAAACTTTTGTGGCTTGCTCTAAAATACAAGTGTCTGTCCTTGCTAATTCATCAGTTAATGCTTTTAGGGTAAGACCTGAACTAGGCTTTGTTTATGTAAGAAAATTGCTTATCTACTTCATGTTTCTCAGACACTGCTTGGAGTAGATATCTCAGTCCTCAGAGTCGCAGAGGACAGTGCAAGTACCTGCCTGTGCTACTACCGTAAATTGGGAGGCTGTCATTTAGGTGTTAGCAAATGTAGATAGTATGTCTAATAACAATGTCATTGGGGTCAAAAAGGTAGTTTTAGGTAGGTTTATTTCAGACCAGTAGCATGTTACCTGTGCTGTTCTATTTGTTGTGAAAGGGCATATAAATTATATCTTTCTTGGGAGAAGATCACATGTCATGGATTAGAGATCAGGGCTAGGGCTAGAAGAGCAAGTTCCTCAACAATCATAAGCACTCAGGGTGAAATATGGTATCAGACTTGTTCATAGGCAGCAACCCTATAAAGAATGAATGTGTTTGAAGCAAATTTAATTTAGAAGAGTTTAATTGCTTAGGAGAGCCACCTGAGAGCTATAAATATGAAGGCTATTTTTCCAAACTCTTGCTCGCAGTGTCTAGGACCTTTAAATGGTACTTGCAGCCAGAAGGCATTAAAAACTGGTAATGGTGTCCTCCCTGCATACTGCTGGGTGCTCAAGAGACCAATAATGGTGCTTGGGGGAGGCTTATCGAGGTGAACAGACTATTGCAGCTCAGGTACTTAGGAGATTATCTACAGCGTACAGGAGAAGTACAGGAAATCTCAGTTTCCACAGGAAACATTTACCTCTCATTTCCTGAGGAGAGTAAGAAGTCAGAGAAATGAATGGGAAGCTGTGTTTGTGCAGAGCAGGTCTTGCCCAGAGTTGTGTGTGTTGATCAAACTGGCTGAAGACATGTACGTGCTCCGCAGGAATGGTGGTGAAGGCTGAGTTGGTCAGGTTAGGGACCAGAACCTGTGGGCATACGGAGATAAAAGTAAAAGAGCAAGTGGTGCTACTGTTAACAAAATAAATTGGGAAACAGTAATTTCCTTACTCTGTGGCTTTCCTGGCATGCCCATAACTGCTCTATGCTTTCTGTCAACCGAACAATTCTTACCCTGTAATCATGATTACCTGATGGCAGGTGGTATTTGTGTAGGGACATCTGGATTTCATGGATCCTCAGTCTTCATTTCATAGTAAGCTGGTCTTCTAAAAGTGGCCAAAACAGTGCTTTAGAGGCTAGATTTACTACCTAATATTGCTAGGTTTAATTTTGTGGTAGGTTGGTTGTGTTGAAGATTGGTGCTCCACCAAAACCATAAATGAAGAAAAAAAAAAAAGGTTGAAGTAATTATGATCAGGCCCGTGAATGGATTTTTAAGTCTTCCTGCACTTACGTATTTCAAAATTGAAAGTATAAAGCAGTGTCTTGTTCATAATTATTTACTAAAATGGGCACGGTATTTTTCAGCATATTGTAATATAGGAAAGATTTGGATAAAACAGGAAACTGCTACTTTTAAATACTTAAAATATTACAATATTATTACAATGCTTACATGTTTGAAGTTACCAACAGCGTCTTCTCCACCTCTGGTTTGAACTGGCTCTTCAGGTGTGCATGTCAGGTTTAGCAGAGCTTTCTTCCTATTCCACATTTTCTTCCAGTGTCCCCAAAATTACAGGTTGCAACTATTTTTCTGGCATGGGAAGGGTTGTCTAGAACCTGAAAAGTGGCCCTGCTAACTAAATGGAAGCTCACTGAAGTAAATCTCCACACCTCTTCTGGAACTTGAGAGCCCCGCTCTTCACTTGCTGGTTTCCTGATGCCTGTCTTCAGAAACTGTCCCATCTTTCTGTGGTCATTCCTGGTCTGGGGAGCGCTGCCCAGTGCGAGACCAGCCTTGGCTCCTCTACCCAGTCCAGGCCTTGATACGAGGCTGTACTTCTGCTCTTTACTTTCTCTTGTGCTTCTACAAAAATTTTCCTTTGACAGGCTTGTTTTCTCCCAGGGTGGGATGTAATTGAGAGGGCCAATATGGGTACTTTATTATTTGGGGACTCTTTGAACTGCAGCTTCTCTTTCCTACAGAGTGATGGAAGCTGTCCAGAGCTGCAAGGTCGTAGGAGTACTTTGTGTTAGAATGGAAACAATAGCTGTCATAATCTCAGGAATGACACTAAACAGCAGCATAAAGGGTTCACATTTTAGTCACATCTGAAAGGCAGAGTTAATCTGCAGTTAGGTTACTATAGTGTTTCTGCTACTTCAGCAGTGGAGCATCTTAGTTTCAGAAGACACCAGTTGACTTTTATTAGTTTCTAACAGATTTAGACAAGCATTTCGGAGATTTTTGATGAGTGCAAATGTATTTTTCAAGAGTGGTCTGCAAAACATGTAAGAAGTCACACTCTTTAAAGTGAAAGTGTAACTATATAAACCCTAAGTACACTACAGAGTCGAATAGCCAGCAACCAACACGAAGTAAGTTATTGCTAAACTTTAGTCAAATTCTTTATTATCTTCCAAGAAATTGTCTTGGGATTCACTTATAGTTCAGAAACAAAAGAAGAGTAGAGGTTGGAATGGGTATTCAGCTGGAACTACTGACCTGTACAAGGCAGCATGTAAAGTACTGAGCTGGAGAAAGAGCTTGCTGAAGGGTGTCTACAGTTTGTGGAGTGCTGGGGTATTTCCTGAGGTTATTAAGATTTTTGTTGTTTCTCTTAAATTTAGATGTGGTTTGCTTTCACTCCAGAGAGTCTGGTGAAGGTGTTCAGCACAGAGTTGGTTCAGTTCTGTTTTAATATTTGTTCCTTTCATAAGAGAAAACTCATATTTGTTTGCTTTTTCAATTAGTTCCTCAAAGGTTCATTTTAGAGTGAGGTGTATGTGACTCCTGTTTTGACAGCAGTGCAAAATGAAGTCACTTGTGAGTTAGTATTTTGGTGAAGGAAGGCCCAGAAAGAAATAAATCGGTGTTTTAGGAATCGTAATCCTTCCAGAACTAGTAACTGCTCTGGGAATTAGTTCTTGCATCCAGATTTTCACTTAGCTGTGTGATATTTAGGTAACTTTATTAAGCCATGGCTGAGACTGTGCATGATTTTAGTTCTTCTTTTAATGATTGAGTGCTTTGTAAATATTCACGTTTTCTTTTTTAACTTAAATGCTACGTATATCGCAGTTTGGGTATAGCAAAGGAGTGTTAGTGCAGAAAATTATTTAATCAGGCTAAAGCCTTCCATATTTTTAATTAAAGTTTCTTACCCTGAAGTCAGAATTGAAATTTCAGTGCTTAATAGATTCCTATTAGCAAGATCTGACTGCACGTTTCACAAACATGGCTTTCAGAAGCACAGTCTTGAGCTGTTTGAAGGCAGTGAGCACTCACAGAAGCATTGCCCTGGCTTGGTGTTCCTTGCTAGATTCGTTTTGAAGATTATTTTTAAAGTTTTAATAGTGTGCAGAATTGTTAATCTGTTACTGGAGAGAAGGAGGCAAGCAAGCTGTTGATTGTGTCTCAGAACTTATAAAAAGGTGCTAAAGCTTTCAAATTTATATGTATACATAAAGTCTGCACTGGCAGGATTCCGTTCGTAACTTAAAGATGGAATGCTGTAGTGTTTGGAGAAATACTAGTTCAAAATACTGATCTTACTGTAGAGTTAGTCTTCTCTCAAGTATGTACTACTTTTGCTTGTAACCTTGCTGTTGGAAGTTAGCTTCTGGAAAACAGTCTTTGTTTAATTGCTCTGCACACCGGAACAACTTTGGGAACTCAGTAAATTATTTAAATTGCTTTGCTTTTCTTGCTGATTTTACTTCTCAGATGCATGGTCATGTGTGTCAGAAACCATAAAGGTTTCTTATTCCTTAAGATTAAAATAGCTGTGTTAAAAGGGATATTAGGATCAATATTGAAAATTCCAGCTGTATGCTTTGTCCTTTCTTGTCTTAACACACAGTATAGGGTTTAGCTTTGAGTTTTTTTGGGTTGTTTTTTTTTTTTTTTTTTTTTTGGTGGGTGAGAGGGGAGGTTTGGGGTATCTTCAGCATGGCATTTTTTCAAACATTTTTCATGTGCTTAGGTGCATCCAAGCAGAAGTCAAGTTCCCTGCAGGTAGCAGATAAGGACCTACTGCCACCTTTTCACCCATACCAACCTTTGGAATGCATAGTAGAAGAGACTGAAGGCAAGCTGAATGAACTTGGACAGAGAATTAGTGCTATTGAAAAAGCACAACTTAAATCACTGGAATTAATTCAAGGTGAACCTTTAAATAAAGATAAGATTGAAGAACTTAAAAAGAACAGAGAAGAACAAGTACAGAAGAAGAAGAAAATATTGAAGGAACTGCAGAAGGTGGAAAGGCAGTTGCAGATGAAAACCCAACAGCAGTTTACCAAAGAATATTTGGAGACCAAAGGTCAGACAGATACACCACTTCCCCTGCAGCAGCAGTGCCCACTTACAGGGGTCTTCCCAGAAGTGGAAGCCGATAAGGGTCAGCCAGAGGATAACTTTTCAGGGGTACCTCAGGCCGCCACCATCTTGTCTAAAGATGACGAGTTTTGTGCCAACAACGCAATGTAATTTTTCTGGTAATTTAGGTTATAATGGGACAGAGTCTCTTGAACTTCAGAAAGCATTAGGGAATCAGCAGACTGTAGGACAGCAGCAGCAAATTGCTGGGCAGGGGCTCTTAGTTCAAGAACCAGACGGATTAATGGTTGCCACTCCAGCACAGACGCTTACCGACACTCTTGATGACCTAATAGCAGGTGGGTTAAGAAATATACCTATTTTTGCATTAATTTGTGTGCTCAGTTTCCCTCTCTCTCCTTCCCTCCAAAAACATCTTGGGGTTTTCCAGTTTGGGAATACTTGCTTAAGAATAAAGTTCCTGATTAGTGCTATTAATCCTCACAGTGACTTCCAATTCTAACATGAGACTTTTAAATATCTTTTTTCCAAAGTGCAGAACTTCCTGACCTGGAGACCTGATTTAGTCCCTTTGGCCTCATCTTTTTCTGTGCTTCTTTAAAAAGCTTTATCATGAGTGATTGATAGTGCCCATTAGGAAACCTGAAAGTGTGACAGTTTTATATCTTCTATAGAATTTTCTGTACAGGCTTATACCTCAGTGACTTTCTTCAGTGTAGTACCCATCTCTAGAAAAAGCCAAATTATTGTCACTTGTACAGACAGATGTGTCCCTCTCCTTGCTGCTTGAGATGTTACTATGGTTTAAACAAACTGAAATCCATGCATAGCTGCTCAGTTCTGTAATGGCTTCTGTTTTCTGAATACCCTCTAAAACCTGATTGTTGTATGGGAATATCTCCTTGTTAGATATAACATATGGCAAAAAAGTGTCCTGTTACCTGGGTGAAAAGCAAAAATCCAAACATCCTTCCATTTGGTGATAACGATGTGAAGAGGAAGTTCATATACGTTGGGTTGTGTGAGTCACCTTGTGAAAAAAGAGGTATCATTTTGGTTGACTTCATTTCATGGATTTGACTAGGATTGATGTTTGCTGCTGGAGGTATGTAGGATGTAGCCAGTGTTGTTTGGTCTCTAGTTGTTTTTTTTTTTTAATTCAGTGTTTTTCAACTTTACTTTGCACCTTGTGTCTGTCCCTCAGCCCTTATTTTCCTGTCCCACACCCCTCCCACCCTGCCTCTGTAGTCACTGCCTTGTCCTCTTAAGTTCATTTGAAGGTTGTAGAAAAGTGCAGTAAGACCTTTTGCTGGCCATTCCGGTGAACTTTTACAATGGTAATTGCATGAAGCTCATGCAAGTTGAGACTGCCTGTAGCTTTGCAACCTCCCATGGAAACCGTAGTTGGTGGAATAGTGTAATGTGTTGTACCAGGTCCATTCAGCTATACAGTGTAATTCAAAGAAATCCTCTTGTATTCTAGAGAATCAGTCTTACTTCTCCCTTTTCTGGAATGGCTTGCCTCCCTCCCCCACTCTATGGTGCTCTTCAGAGTATTCAGCCAACATTAAAACAAAAATGCAGTTGGATTATTCTTGATTTTTATTACTAAAGATTTAGTACTGGAGTGTGTGAGGGGGAAAATTTGAATGGTTAATGCAAAATATAATCAACAAGGGCTTAATCTTTGAAGTAGTTCCTGTTGCTGACAGTTTAAACTATCTAGCACAAGACAAGACCATGTAGTGTATACCCTTTCATGGTTAGCAGCTGCATATTACATCCAGAATATTCAGTGCACTCAAAATGAAAAACTGCTGCAGTCAGCAGAGTGTGAGAACCATGCTGTTTGAAAAAAGATTCCAAACAACCGGAAAAATTACATCTTAAGAAAAATTAAAGAAAACTTGAATAGACATTGGTTTGTTTTCTGAAACTGTTTACTATTTTTGCTAAGTAATTAAAGTAATTTTTTTGCTAAGAAATGAGATTTACTGTTTTCAAAAATCGAGCACATTCTTCTACAACTATTATAAACTGTATTTACAGAAATGCAACTTGAGGAAAGTTTAGCTGTCCAATTCTGGAGGCTCCTACAAATGTGTATCGATGTTGCTTTACTGAAATATATTTTCTTCTCAAATTCATAAGTTTGTTTTCTTCCCTCACCAAAAATTATTGTTGGAAGAGAATTAGATATCTAGCCCACTTTTTATATCCAGGCTGTGTAAAAGAGTGACCCCTTTGTAAATTATAATCCTACTGTATCACAAATTTATGTATATTTGAAAACAAACTGTAAATATACCTACTCATACTCCAGACTCTTTGATCCGTATTTAAAATGCACTTGACCTTTTACCCCAAACTTGTCCATTAGTCCTTTATTTTGTAAAGAGATTTTGAGCAATAGAAACTGTTATGAGAACTAATTTGTAGAATTTTATCTGGCATCTGTAGCACACATCTTAAGGAGTTTGTCTGGTGCGCAGGAAGTATGTCTCTTAGAAATGTTCTCTCACGCTCGGCTGTGCCAATGAAGCGTTTCCCTTGATCACAGTGCTCCTGGTGGAGCTGTAGTAATGGTGGTGAGTGACTCTTGGTTTAGAAGAGGGTATGAAGGTTTTTATTCCTGCCAAGTATTCCAGTTTGTATCGGGTCTACTTCAGAAGAACAGAAATGTTGAATCGTCTTTTTGCCCTCTGCACTGAAATAGGTTTTACTGTTGCTCTTACCAGTGGTGAAGTAAGAGGCAAGTCTTTCAAAGCCTCAGTTGAGACTAATTGTAAGAAAGAACTTGCCTTTCTGCAAAGCCTCATTTTTTATTTTGCTGACTAACTTAATTGTGACAACATATATAAATGGAATATTTATCTTGCCAGTCTGCTGGCACAATTTATCAGCTGCTAGGTGTTGAGATGGTTGATGTCAAGGTGTGAAGTGCTAGAAGTCTCACTGGCAGTCAGTCACTGGTAGACGTATAACCTAAAAATGAAACAACTCTTTCCACTCCAGGACGTTTTGGTTGTAATGGAGTTGATTTAGATGTGCTAAAGCAAAAATCTTGCAACTAACCCTGTCTTTGAAGATGTGACTTATTACAGTCAAAATCTTAATTGGGTTTACAAAAGAGATGTAGATGTTATGTTGTTCAGAGTGGGAAAGCAATGAATGATTTTGGATCACATCTTCCAGTAGAACAGGACATTTTGGATCTAAATTTCATTACTCAGTACACATTTGTTTTCTTGAAGCATCTTGTCTTGCATAGTTGTAGTTTCATTTCCATTTACATTGTGCATTTACTGCAGTAGATTTCGTAGTTGGCAGTAGGCTCCTTGGCTGTTTTGGTGTATTCAAGATGAGGAACTTTCTTTTGGTTGCTAGGTTTTATCTTTAATTGGAATATTTTTATTACTGTTTGTTCTACTTGGCTGGAGGCAGGAGGTGGCATCTGTGTGCTTCTGTCTGATTCTCCTGTGAGCTCCCATTTGTATACTGAAATTCCAGGCGTGCTTTGAGAAACTGTAACTGTTGTTTGTTTCTGAAATTCTGGATGTGGTCAGTTATGCAGAATTGTGGTATTTCTGTAATGATTTGGTAATGATTTGGAAGGTGACATCTGAATTACTGTATTTAGGATTGCTGTTTGGAGCAAGGCTGGTTACCAGGATGATCTGGAGTGAGAAATGGTGACTCATAAAATAAGGTGCAGTCACCAATGTGCAAAAGCTTCTGTGCGGTAACACATTACTGAGAAGCTGGGTTGACAGGCTGAAAGAGTGGTCATGAAAAAGGATTGTTTTCTTTGTCCTGAAAATTGCAGTTCCTTTGAGGAGAGAGAAACTGAAATCCAAGTCCAGTATTCGTGAACATCCATGCTTGTGGCATGACAATGGTTAGGTAGATGCACTTTCAAGACTACAGCTGCAATCTTATCCAGAGCTGCTTGCTCAAGGTTCTGCCAATGCCTCCACAGTCAAACTTGGATAAAATACCAGGTTCTTGCTTCATTTTGTTTACTCGTGTTTCCAGTGATATTTTGTCATAACCTTGGAAAATAGTCATCCATGTCTTTGGAGACCTGTCTTCAACTTCGCACTTACTCAAAGAAAGTCCTTTTGGAAAGCTACAAGCCCTTCTTAAAATATGGGGAACGTGTATTTTGTCTTGTGTAGAATATATATATATATATATATTT